TTTATGGTAGAGCTTAGCCTTGAGGTAAATCTTTTTTTTTTCTTCCTTTTGCCTTCTTTGAAGGTTCATGGGCCAGCCGCCCTTCTTTCTTTCTCTTTTTCTCATGGTAGTCCAGACAATATCCATATCGCTTGTGGTTCAATTCAATATATTCATTTTGTGGCTTGATGATAGCCGTGGAGCAGCCGTCTGCAATCTCCCAGGTTCTGAAATCCTTTAAACATCTGGGTATCACTGGCCTACAAGCCTAATTCGCTCAGCCTTAGTAGAGTTTTTAATATGTTATTAGTCTACTTAGTTATAGATACTAGCTTAAATGTGTGTCTAATCAAGGTTTAGTTTTTAAAATGTTTGATTTCTGCTTAAGCTTTATTTATATTTGGAAACCTAATATGGCAATTGATATTAACTTACAACTACATAGAAGCAGTAGCTCATTAAACAGTAAAAAGACTATAAATATAACAGTATTATATATATTATATATTATATATATTTACTTATATTATTTTATATTATATATATACATATATATATATATAATATATTATATATTTTTAAAAGCTAGAAATAAGATTATTTAAGTCTTCACCATGAAGAGATGATAAATATTTCAGGAGATAAAGATGCTTAGCATGATTTTTAACCTTAAACAGTGCATATGTGTACAAAAATGTCTCATTATACCACACTACAGTAATATTCAAAATTAATGATTTTTAATATTTTTATTCATTTGCCAGTAAAAATGAATAACTTCATAAATCTATTAAGTACAAATTACAAATGTATAACAAGTTGAAACCAGCTTGATCCCTAAAGACCAATAATAGTTTCTTCCCTAGGAAGGCATGATGAAGAACTTCAGGTATTCTCAAAGGAAACCTCTCCAGAGATCTCCAAGCATACAAATCTCTGCCCCAATCTCTGCCCCAAAACACCAGCCTAACTCCACAGCATCTCACTGTAGAAAGGACTTGCTATGTCCATTGAACGTCATTCCGTCCTTTGAATAGCAGTCACTCTTGCCTCAGGATTTGCTATCAGCCTGTAAATATAATTAAGGTAAAGAGCCAAAGATGAAAATCACATTTAATGACCTTCAAATGATAACCTCTCCAAGAGATATGCTACAGGCCACTGCAGTTTGTCATTTATAGACAGAACGTGGGAATTGGATGAGAGATGTGATTTTTACTATGCTAATTTTACAAATATGAAAGTAACTGTTACAAGGCCATAGAAAAAATGAATGACAAACTTAGAACTTTGTTTATGTAAATATGATTTTACTTATTTTTCTTCTGCCTCACTAAAGTTGGAATTTTTGACCTTTAGCTGAAAGTGCTCCTCAGAAGGTACCTATCCAACAATCCATAGATGGTTTCATGATTTTGTACTGACTACTGTATGGTGAATGTCTTTCTTTTATAGAAATCTGATAAGCATCTATATTGCATAAGCAATAAAGTAAGAAGTTTAACACATACAGAAACAGCTGTATGGATCTGCTATGAATTGCTTGCAAAGACAAGGGTGTTTTCAAATCTGCTTTGGGTGGATGATCCAGATGATCCAACAAACGTGAGTCTGGGTATTTGGAAATGTCTCGATATTCACTACAGAGACTTGATGATTTATTCACCAGGGTGATTCTATCCCCAAAAATATAAACAAAGAATAGTATAGATGCCACTTTGATTAGTAAGTAGTGACCTTATCATGTTCTGTATATATTTTCATCTCAGTGGAAATTACAAAATACAAACAAATATGTAAAGGAGGGAGATGAATCATCCTGAAATATGAAAATATTCCTAAAAATGCTTGAACCTGAAATCCAATGCTTTTTGCCTCTACATCACGCTGATTATTAAGAAATGTATTCAATTCCCGAATCTAGAGATTTTTCCCCCTCAAGCAGTTTGTATAATTTTAGAGCATCACATTTCTCAAGTACTCAACTTTATTGTTGATACAGTATAACACTTATCTTATATACTACAACACTCACAGACATGTCATCCACATATTAATCCCTTATAATACATACTAAGCCTTATCTCCTTAGCCACTAAGATAATGCTTTAAGATTGGGCTGTGTTGTCCAGCCTTGATGTGTGGGTATAAACCTAGTCTTATTGTAACTTGTTATGCCAAGTTCAGTTTATATCCATATGAGGCCTGCTTTTTTCTGAAGGGAAACACAGAAACAGTGGATCTGGGGGAGAGATGGGATATGGCATGTAACTGGTAGGAGTGGTCAGGATATATTGAATGAGAAAGAATTAAATGAAAAGATAAAACAGTATTATTTCACAAAAAATCCATTCAAATAAAATACTTTCTAACATAAAAATTATCACCAAAAGAAATCTGTGCCGTTACAATCAGTCCATAACCTGAGAACAGTCAAAGCTTGGTCTCTGTGACTTGGTTTTGCCAGGAAAGGAATACGAAAAAAGATAAGATTTAATAAAAATAGGCTCTTTTATCCTAACTAAACTATTGTTTCTATGAAAAAAATATTTTTTAAATTACCTGACTATTGAGTTCTCTTTTTCTAGCAAGAGGCATCAGACCTAGAAAGAAGCAAATGTTTAGGAAACACTGACGGCTAAGATGAAACCCAGGAACATTGCCTGTATTCTCAGTTAAAACACAGCTAGAGCCAGGCTTACTTCTGGAACATTGATATTAATCTTCAGTAAAGGTTTCATTTCTATAAAAGGTCCACCGCAAGTTACGTATTGACTTTTTGTATTATATAAAATAAGTTATAAGGAAAATGATATTCCAAGTCCGGCTACTTTCTTTTAATAATTATTTTATTTTTAGATTAAAATATAATTATATGGTTTTCTCTTTACCTTTTCTCCCTCTAAATTCTTCCATATACCATCCATCCTTGCTCTCTGTCAATTTTTTGGCCTCATTTTTCAACCACAAACATGATATGGAAAAGATGTAATGATCATTCTTGTACTTTGTAAAGAAAGAGAGCCATTACTGACATTGAGAAACACTAATTGTACATATACAATTAAGTTTATCTTTATTTTTAGTTTGGAAAATAGTTTGACGTGCCATTGTAAAAAAAAAAAAACAGGCTAAAATAAATGCAATAGCTTAATTTAAAAAAAAATAGAAAAGAAAAATTACCTGAAATTGCTGCAGGGTATAGGGACAATAGTTATGGGTAAGACATAAGAATAGTCTAACAAGCACATGAGAACCAAGATTATCTCAATGACCCAGTACATAATAGAGAAAAATTGAGAGAGAAAAACTTCCATAATTCTTGAGGCTAAATTCTTGAATGTGGCATAACCTACACTGATCACATTTAAAGACCATCACCTCATATTGACAATAACAGTATAGCTATTACTTAATAAACTGTAGTTAACAGTCACAATTGTCTTTGATTTATGTTTATTTCTCCCAATAGTATCTGAAAGTGGCTATCATTTATGTCTTCAAGTTGAATAAAATAAGATCATTGTAGAAGTTATGCTAGGACTAATAGCTCTTAGGAGATAAATGTTAGATTTGATAGGCATCTATCTCTCCCAGGAACCTCTGTTCTATGTCTACTAAATCTGATGTCATAACATTGCTCAGAACTGACACTACAGGTTGAATACTCTCTCCCCCAAGCTATCCACAACATCAGCTACTCTGAGTATGCCATGGTGTATCCCATGAACTCGTCTTCAACCCACTTTAATGTTGGATGTTTAGGGATTTGGGTAATATATATCCTGATGAAAATATGTATATAGATATATATGAAATGAATGTGTGTGTGTGTGTGTGACAGTGTTGGTATTAAAGGAGGTATGATCTCATGTTCTAGATTTCATGGTTTTCTTTCTTTTCCCACCAAAATGAAGAAATATGTGGCCAAAGAAATTAAATTATTACCTAATCAACTACTTTGTAGTTAACTGTGAAACCCCAAAATTTTGGTGTGTCTGAACCAAAAGAGTGGGTTCAGTCAAATTCATTTACATCTAAGAAAATACAGAGATAAAACCTCAAAAGCATAGAGTCAGAGCTCGGCACGGTCTGTAACATATTAGTGATAGAAAATAAAGAAGTGACAAATTTAAAAGGTCAGTAGTAGTTCTTGGTAAGTGAGAGGAAAGGAAGTGTTGGGTATTGCTAAAATAATAATGGAGCATCAATTCATGGACAGAATTATTCATAAAATTCATATTAATCAATGTATTAAATTGTTTACATCACAATTAACAAATACATAAAATTTTGAAATTTTGAATTCCATTAGGAGCCCTTCAGTATAACATGTGTATAATTGATTCACCAAAGTTAATGCTAAAGCCCACGCTAGTTTCCTACAATATAGAAATAAAAGTTGGCATAGCTAGTGAAGTGGGAAGAATCTAGGAGGAGTTAAGAGGAGGAGAAAAACGATGATCAAAATATAGTATAAAAAATATTTTTAAAGAATATGGTAAATAAATAAATAAATAAATAAATAAATAAATTCATTTTCCTCTTGGAGGAGATAGTTGCTGCACATGGCACATAATTCATATTGTTCAGTAAGATATTTAAAAAAGTAAGACTCAAAAAAACCTCCAAAATCCAGAATCAGATTGATATAGTGCTCAATTGTATCAGCTCTTTAAAGAAGACCTAATACCAATACTCTTCAAACTATTCCACAAAGCAGAAACAGAAGGAACACTTCCCAATTCATTCTATGAAGCCACTGTTATGCTGCATATTCTTCCTTGGAGATGGAAGTTTTTTGTCTAATCAGGAACTTGTCACAATTTCTTTTCATTGATGACTTCATAAATGAATTTTTCTACTTCTAACATGTTTAATGTGCCAAATAAATTTTTAAAACTGAAAAAAAAATAAAAAAATAGAGAGAAAAAAGAATATGGTTCATTTTTAAGTTCCATGGAATTTTCAAGATATCATATTTTCCTTTTTATTACTATGAAGAATATTGTAATTATAAGATGCCAATAATGAAGAACAGAACAGAAATGACAGAGTTCATTCTTCTGGGACTCACCAATGACCCATGCCTGCAGCTTCCCCTGTTTATCACCTTCCTTCTCATCTACATCATCACCCTGATAGGAAACCTAGGGATGCTCCTGCTCATTTTCCTGGACTCTCAGCTCCACACCCCCATGTACATTTTCCTTGGTAATCTTTCTCTGGTGGATTTGTGTTACTCTACAACTGTCACCCCCACAGTCATGGCTGGGCTCCTAATAAGAGACAATGTCATTTCCTACAATGACTGTGCTGCTCAGATGTTCTTTTTTGGAGCCTTTGCTACTGTGGAGAATTATCTGTTAGCTTCAATGGCCTATGATCGATATGCAGCAGTGTGTAAGCCCCTACACTATGCCACCATCATGACTACAAGTGTGTATACATGGCTTATCACTGGCTCTTATGTCATCAGTTTTATGAATGCTTCCATCCATATTGCAGACATATTCACTCTCTCCTTCTGCAAGTCCAATGTGATCCATCATTTTTTCTGTGATGTTCCCGCAATCATGGCTCTCACTTGTTTTGATAATCAAGTTAGGGAACTTGTTCTTCTTTACCTTGAGAGTTTAAATATATTTTTTGCTCTAACAGTTATCTGGACATCTTACATGTTAATTTTTGTCACCATCTTAAAGATGCACTCAGCTTCAGGACATCGCAAGGCTATATCTACCTGTGCCTCTCACTTCACTGCAGTGTCCATTTTCTATGGAACTGTCATTTTCATGTATTTACAGCCCAGCTCCAGTCACTCCATGGACACAGACAAAGTTACATCTGTATTCTACACCATGATCATCCCCATGCTGAACCCTCTAGTCTACAGCCTGAGGAACAAGGAGGTCAAGAATGCATTTATAAAGCTGATACAACATTATTAAGGATTAAGAATGCATTCATTTGCTAAAAGCAAAACAAATAATAGGATTTTAATTTAACTTTGTATGGTGCAGTTTGTAACTTCATTCTTCTCAGATCTCCTCCTAGTACTGAATTCAAGTTGAAATCTGTAACAAAATCAAATAGATGAAATTATACCCTTACTTCTTCTTCAAAACTCTTGGAAAATATTTTACACAAAATTGTAAACTTGGATGATATATAATAGTTTAGGGTTTTCAAAATCCCATTAGGAATACTGATCTATCACTTAACTACATGTGTCTTTACTACATGCCAATGCAAATACACATAAAGCAATTTTTAAATAAATACCATGAACAAAGAAGTGCACGGAGGTGTTCCATGATATGTACATGAATATGGTAAATTTTATAGAATTGTGTATGTAATGTGCCTATCTGCATTGATTAATTTTATGTATTCATCTTACTGTATTAGTGGTATGCCTGTGATCCTAGTTCCAAGAATTCAAGTGTCTAGAATTAGAAACAGTTAAATTAGAAACTAAGACATCAATCATCTCTGTGGATGAATGTAATCCCACTACTTAGACCTCAAATAAATACAAACCTCCTCTCTGTCTCTCTTGTCCTCAATCTATACCTCTCATGTTCCCTTCCTCCATTTCTCTTCCTTTATGTTCCTCACTCCTTCTTCTTCTCTATCCTTTCCCCTCCTCCCCCTTTGCTCTGAGCATTTATCTCTTCTCACTCTCACACATCAGAATTGATGATCTGGTTCTGATTCTTTTTTAACAGTACTTTCATTAGTTTAATCAAATTTTAGTATCAGTGGAATGGCAGAAAAACAGCCAGGTTACCTTAAAATCTATTCTGAGAAGCATATAGATTTGCTACAACTCAGTTTACTGAATCTAGACTTTGTTCTTCAAGTCTAAGTCAGATTGCATTAACCATCAGTTTCTCTTCGTCTCAAGCTTAAAGGCAGGATATCATGGTACTTCCAAACCTCCATATCACATGAACCAATGCCCACAATAAATACCTTATATTTGTCCATGTATATTATTTCCTATTGGTGCTGTTTCTCAGGAGACCTTTAAAAGCGACTAAAGCACTTGGTAAATGTGATTTTTTGAATGAGAAATGTCTTCTATATGCTCACCTATTTAAACACTTGGTCACCTGATGGTGGTGGTGCTTGAGGAGTTTTAGGTAGTAGAGCCTTGTTAGGGGAGGTACAAGCTTTTCATTGCTTATAGCCTTGCCCCCATTTCCATGTTTTCCTGTCCCTAATGTTTATGGTTGAATATGTGATCTCTCAGCCTCTAGCTCATTCCACAATGCCTGCCTCTTGTTGCTAAGCCTCCTGTCATGATAGACTCCTATCCCTCTGAAACTATAATCCCAAATAAACTTTTTCTTCCATAAGTTGATTTTGGTGTTTTGTGTTTTATCACATTCTCTACATTCTCATTTCTCACTCTCCTGACGTTTAAAGTAATTTTCTTGTAATTACGTTAGCAACTAGTTCATTTAAAACTCCTCATAGTTCTAATGGGAAGCAACAGACCATTAAATGGTAAGAAATATATCCAGTAGAAGTAATATGTCATGATTTATCAGGAAAAAATAAATATGAAATTATTTAAAGGATTTGTATCCAGTTACCTTTTCCATTTATTTATTTATTTATACACTTTACTTTCTGATGGCTGCCCTCTTCCTCCAAGTCCCCTCACATAGTCCCTCCTTCACGCCCCTTCCTATTCTGTTCTGAGACTGTTGAAGTCCCCTCTGGGTAGCACCCCATTATGGCAAGAAATTACAACACAAGCACAAATGGCATAACTAGCTGAAACTATTCTAAAAGTTGTTTTTAATATATTGACATAAAACACAGTATGCATGCTTTCAATCTTTTTGTAAGTTTAAAACATTACTTGATTTTATTAAAGGTAATTTACAATGACCATTTTATTTCTTCTGTACTCTGAAATTTATGTTTTTATTCATTGTACATCCTGATTGCAACCCCCTCCCTCCTCTCTTCCTAGTACCACCTTTACAAATACCTCCCACCATTAGACCCTCCCCTTCTTCTCAGAGAAAAGAAGCTCCCCTTGGGTACCACACCACTCTGGGAAGTCAAGACAAAGTAGAACTAGGCATATCCTCTCCCACCGAGGCCTAAGCAGACAGTCCAGGTAGAAGGAAGGGGATCCAATGGGAAGGACTAGAGATGAAGACAGCTCCAGTTCCACTTGTTAGAGGACCCCAGAAGACCAAGCTGCACTTTTGTTATAAATGTATAGGGGATTTAGTTCCAGCTCCTGCATCCTCCCTGGTTGAAGGCCCCAGGCTCTGTGAGCTCCCAAGGTCCCAGGTTAGTGTGCTGGTCTAACTAGTGTGAAGAAAAATAAAAATAGATCCATATTTATCACCTTGCACAAAGGTCAAGTCCAAGTATATCAAGGACCTCAACATAAAACCAGATACTCTCAATCTAATAGAAGAGAAAGTGGTAAAGAGCCTCAAACTCATGGACATGGAGGGGAAACTTCCTAAACAGAACTCCAATGGCTCAGGCTCTAAGATCAAGAATTAACAAATGGAACCTCATGCAAATGAAAAGCTTCTGTAAGGAAAAAGATATTGTTAAGAGGAAAAATTGGCAACCTACATATTGGGAAAAATTCTTCACTAACCCCACATCCCATAAAGGGCTAATATCTAAAATATGTAAATCACTCAAGAAGCTAAACTCTAAAAACTAAACAACCCAATTGAAAACTGGGGTATAGAACTGAAGAGAAAATTAACAACAAGGAAATCTCAAATGGCTAAGAAGCATTTAAAGAAATGTTCAAAGTCCTTAGTGATCAGGGAAATGCAGATCAAAAATGACCCTGAGATCCCACCTTATTCCAAAAACTCAGGTGACAACACATGTTGGTGAGAATGTGAAGAAAGAGGAACACTCCTCCATTGCTGGTGGGATTGCAAACTGGTATAACCACCCTGGAAATCAATCTGGAGGTACATCAGAAAATTCGAAATAGATCTACCTGAAAACTCAACTATACCACTCCTGGATATATACCCAAAAATGCTCCAACATGCTAAAAGGGCACATGCACCACTGTGTTCATAGTGGCTTTATTTGTGAGAGCTAAAAGCTGGAAACAACCCAGATGTCCCACAACGGAAGAATGGATACAGAAAATGTGATTCATTTGCACAATGGAATACTATTCAGCTATTAAGAAAAAGCACAGCATGAGTTTTGCAAGCAAATAGATGGAACTAGAAAATATTATCCTGAGTAAAGTCACTCATACCCAAAAGGACATGTATGTACTCACTAATAAGTGGATATTAGCCAAAAAATTACCAAATACCCAGGATACAATTCACAGAACTCAAGTAGGTTAACAATTGGAAGCGCCCAAGTGAGGATGCTTCAATCCCACTTGGGATGGAGAAGAAAGAAAAGGGCAAAGGGAGGGAGGAATCTGAGGGGGAGAGGGGATAGGGAAGGGAAAGGGGAACATGGTCAGGTATTGAGGCAGGGAGAGGGGGAAGGAGCAGGAGTGAAACCCTGAGGGCTAACAGAATGAATGGAAATATGCAACTTCAGGATATGGGAGGTGCAGGGATACTCTATATCAGAGACCTTGGAGGTGAGAAAATCTCAGCACTCCATAGGAGGGACCTTAGATGAAATTCCCAACAGTGGAGAGAAAGAACTTGTAGACTCCACCTCCAGCAGAAAGACAGGGCTGGAAGTAATGGGGTTCCCATCCCATAGTCAAGAACTCTAATCCAGAATTCTTCCTGTTTAAAAGAATTTCAGGGACAAAAATGGAGAAGAGACTGAGGACAAGGAGGTCCAGTGACTAGCACAAACTGGGACCCAGCTCAATGAAAGGCTCCAAGGCCTGACACTATTACTGATGCTATGGTGTACTTAGAGACAGGAGCCTGGCATGGTTGCCGTCCAAGAGGCCCATAAAGTAGCTGACTAAGACAGATGCAGATACTTACACCCAACCGATGGACTGAAGTTGGAGACCCCTGTGGTTGAATTAGGAAAAGGCTCAAAGAGTCTGAGCAGGGCAACCCTATAAGGAGACCAGCAGTCTCAACTGACCTGGATGTCTGAGATCTCTCAGACACTGAGTCACCAACCAGGCAGCATACACCAGCTGATATGAGGCCCCCAACACATACACAGCAGAGGACTGCCTGATCTGGCCTCAGTGATAGAATAATCTAAGCCTAGAGAGACTTGAGGCCCCAGGGAGTGGGGAGGCCTGGTGGGATGGGGGTGCAGGGGTAGAGACATCCTCTTGGAGACAGGGGAGGAGGTATGGGATGGGGAGTGGTTGGCGAGAGAACCAAGAGGGGAGTAGTAGCTGGACTACAAAGGAAGATTAGATAATAATAGTAATAATAATAAGGATAATCATGAGGAGGAGGGGGGAGGAGGAGGAGGAGAGGAGGATGAGGAGGATGAGGAGGAGGAGAAGAGGAGGAGAGGAGGATGAGGAGGATGAGGAGGACAAGGAGGACGAGGAGGAGGAGGAGAATGAAGAAGAAGAAGAAGAAGAAGAAGAAGAAGAAGAAGAAGAAGAAGAAGAAGAAGAAGAA